CATATGTTCTGAGTATGTACTTGTATTTTTTTACAATTTTGGTTATTAAAGTAAATCTTCCAACAGGATTAGTGATAGATTGTTAGTGGCTTTGGCCCCTCCTTTGATTTGTATATAAGCCACTCCACGTCTCATAATCTCACCCTTTTTTTTTTTTTTTTTTGACAGGCAGAGTGGACAGTGAGAGAGGGAGAGACAGAGAGAAAGGTCTTCCTTTGCCGTTGGTTCACCCTCCAATGGCCGCCGTGGCCGGTGCACTGCGGCCGGCGCACCGCACTGATCTGAAGCCAGGAGCCAGGTACTTCCTCCTGGTCTCCCATGCGGGTGCAGTGACCAAGCACTTGGGCCATCCTCCACTGCCTTCCCAGGCCACAGCAGAGAGCTGGACTGGAAGAGGAGCAACCAGGACAGAACCTGGTGCCCCAAGCAGGACTAGAACCCAGGGTGCCGGCACCACAGGCAGAGGATTAGCCAAGTGAGCCACGGCGCTGGCCAAAATCTTCTAAAAATATATGTACTAATATAGGAAATTAGAGAATTACTAAACATGAATCCAAATTCTCTAAAAATGGGGAACATGAAATACTAAAGTTAATGACAATGAATGCTGAAATGCTTCATTAGGTCAGAGGCGATGGTAAATACAGACATGTCTGCTCTGCAATACAAATACGTACAATTTACAAAAGCAGGAAAACGTCTACAATTTCTTTTTGAGTAATTTTTCAAAGAAGGTAACATAGAGATAGGACACTCTTTTTTCCTGTTGCTATCAGTCACACTAAATGAAAACCTTTGGCTTTATGTTATGATACTTTGTATCTCGAATGATCAAGTGAAAAATCATAAAATTCTAGTTAACAAACACTGAACATTTGCAATGTGCCAGAAATTCATTTTAATATTTTTCTTAAGGTTTCACATTTAATCTCCCCCCAACAAGCTTGCAATTTCCCCCTTTTAGAAATTAAAAATTTAAGGAGAGAAGTAAGTTAAGAACAAAAGTTTAAATAGCATTGTACAGTCAAACAGTATAAATATGACTGAGGGAGAATTAAGCTCAGAAATCAAGAAAGAAAATGAAGAGGATGATTGAAGAAGACGAAAAGGAGACTAAATGAAAAAAAGAAAAAAGTTGAGGGATAGACAAGATTGAAAGGAGAAGGGGAAACATGGGAGAAAAAATCTGATACATTGAGATACGAAGATACACAGAATTAAGAGAAAAAAGAAATAGAGAAAGATAATATCATTGAACAGTACTATGGAATAAAAAGGTAAATTTACAATATTTGAGAGCAAAGATGGACTGTATCTCCTAATATTTAGCGAAGTTAATCTTTCCTACAAGTGCTCAACATATATTTTACATAACATAAAATACGGAATTATAATCACATACAAAATATGAGAAAATGAAGAAGTGAAAGAATGAGTAATAGATATCAAAGATTAAAAGTAAATTTTAATATAAAATGGGGAGAAATTATATGTTCTTAGAGGAATTAAATGTGACAGCATGAGAAAATTTTCACTAAATGTTATATTTCATTCCCAAAATAGAGCGTTAAAAATCTCAAACCTTGAGTTAAAAAGAATCAAAACAGTTTCTTTTTCTTCTTCCTTCCCTTTAGGAACCATCACGGGCTTTTGTGTAACTACTTCTGAACCATTCCCTAAAAAGATAATTGTCTCAGAGGCTATGACCACCGTCTGCAATGACAGCCATGGTGATTTCATTCTCCTGGGCTTCTCTGACAAGCCATATTTAGAGAAGACACTTTTTTGGATTATTTTGATTTTTTACTGCTTGACCATTGCAGGAAATATAGTGATAGTCCTTGTCTCCATGAAGGATCCCAAACTCCATATCCCTATGTATTTCTTTGTAATCTTTCTGTGCTAGATCTCTGCTTCACCAGCAGCTGTGTTCCACAAATGTTGATTAATTTCTGGGGTCCAGAGAAAACTATCAGCTACACTGGCTGTGCCATTCAACTCTATGTCTTCATGTGGCTTGGGACCACTGAATGTGTTCTTCTTGTCATTATGGCTGTGGACCGCTATGTCGCAGTGTGTCGCCCACTGCAGTATACCACTGTCATGCACTCAAGGGTTTGTCTGCAACTGGCTCTCTTGGCATGGGGGACTGGCCTGCTCCAGTCTCTGATCCAGGCCCCTGCCACACTCCAGTTACCCTTCTGTTCCCTCCGGATTGTAGACGACATTGTGTGTGAAGTGCCAGCACTTATTCAGCTGTCTAGTACAGACACAACCTACAATGAAATCCAGATGTCCATAGCTAGTGCTATTCTCCTGGTGATGCCCTTGATCATCATCCTTTCCTCTTATGGTGCCATCACCAGGGCTGTGCTGAGGATAAAGTCAACTTCAGGGCAGAAGAAGGCATTTGGCACTTGCACTTCACACCTTCTTGTGGTCTCCCTCTTTTATGGCACTGTCACAAGTGTCTACCTTCAACCCAAGAATCGCTATGCTCATGAACGGGGCAAGTTTCTCACCCTTTTCTACACTGTAGTGACCCCAAGTCTGAACCCCCTCATCTACACTCTGAGGAACAAGGAGGTAAAAGGGGCATTAATAAGATTAGGAAGAAGGATTTGGGATTCCAAGAGTAAATAAAAAAGTTGACATATTTTTGCTTGTTGATTAACTTGAGAATAGAGAACAACCTGACCACAGATGCTGGAGATATATCTGTCAATCCGAAAATTGGGAGGAGAGAAAGAGCTGCATTTTGCTTGAGTGCAATACAGTTTCATTCTTCAGCTGTTGCTGAATCCCTTTCCTGTTTAAGCAAAGTATGATATAGAGATTAAAATATTTAATAACCATTATCTAAAGAACACAGAATGCAGTGAATTGGGGGAACAAATGATATAAAAGTTCTCATTTCCTTTTAGAAGTAGTGAAGTAATTCATACTTCAACTAGCTTTTTGTAGGATTGTCAAATGTATACATATTTCAAAACATCATGTTCTATACCATAATATATACAGCTTTTGTCGACTAAAAATAAAATAAAAATATCTATTAGAATTCCAATGAAAAATTTTAAATTGTATATTTAAAAATCCACAAAATTAATAAAACAAAAGATCAAGTAATTTATTTTATACTTTCTAACTTATTTATTTTTTCTTTGTTTTTTATATATTTCTCCAAGCTCAACTATACTTTCACTTAAAAGTCCAGTCCCAACAAGGTCCTTAAGGTTTTGACAGGTTTTAAAAGACTCTGTGTAATGCACCAGAGAGTCTTGGTTCTGAGTTGTTTCTGACTCCCTGCCTTAGTAGGACCATTTTTGATGTACAACGTACCTAAAACCACCCAGGACAAAAGTGCTTGCCAAGCAGAAGCTCACACTTACTGCTTTCTGTTGCTGTCTCCTCATAAGATCCCATGTCTATTTTTCTTACTTTGAGCCTTTATCTTCTGTGCCTCCATTTATAGAAACAGATACTTGTTTTTACTCGCTCTAAATCCCTGTTGTAATGAACTGGCTTCCTTTTTATCAGACACTATTCCTCTTTATTCATTTTGCAGACATTTATCAATTTCTATTATGGGCCTTCAACATACCAGATGCTAGGAATATAATTCTAGGCAAGATATATACAGTCACCAACATTACAGGACTTATGGTCAAATGGTGGGATATGCCTGGGTGCAATGCTACCTGCCTTTTGACTTTTGAATAACACCCCCAATGAAATGTTTTCATTGCTGTTTCCTATCCTCTGCTTGTAAGTGTCTATCAGTTTAGCTAAACTAAAATTGTGACTATAAATTCTTGACTGTCCTGTATAGATTTTTCTAATCAGCTCTGCTCACTCCTAAGCTGTCTCTATGTTCTTATGCCAGATTCATGTATATGTGGAATTAGGATCTGTCCTTATTTCCACCTATTTCCTGGACTGATGAGTGCAATACTTATTTGTGATTTGATGATTTCACACTAAAATTTTCTAAATGTGAATTTTGCTTGCAAATATGAAAAAGTACTAAAGAATTCAAACCAACACTAAATTTCAACTTTTTATGATATATATTAAACATCCTTTACATCCAAAATTTGCATCAATAAAAAGATACAATGTATCAATAACTTTTTATTAAAAACACAAATTATTTATTTTGCTAATTAGTGAATGGTTTCAAGAGGCATTCTTTTTTAATGCAGAAATCATTTTTATTTTTCAATATAATGTGTAAGGTTTATACTGAAGTCTCTCTTACCCAGTGTCCAATCCACATATTTACTCTTGCTACAGGGAAGTATTATTTTTCAGGTTTATTCCATAATGTACAAGCAATTTTATAAAAATATATCTATTTCAAAAATTAAAATGATATAGTATAAATGCTATTCTGTGCAAAATTTTGAATTAATAAAAATGAAATTTTTCTCTCAACAGTCATAAATGGATTTGCATTTTTTTGAAAAGGGATTTAGTTTCATTTTTTTTCTTTTTTTTAACTTTATATTTATTTTTTTCCTTTTTATGATTTTTTTAACTTTTATTTAGTAAATATAAATTTCCAAAGTACACTTTATGAATTACATAGTTCCCCCCCATACTTTCCCTCCCACTCACATCCCTCACATCTCCCACTCCCTCTCCCATTCCATTCACATCAAGATTCATTTTCAATTATCTTTATATACAGAAGATCGATTTAGTATATATTAAGTAAAGATTTCATCAGTTTGCATCCACACAGAAACACAAAGTGTAAAATTCTGTTTCAGTATTAGTTATAGCATTACTTCACATTGGACAACACATTAAGGACAGCTCCCACATGAGAAGTAAGTACACAGTGACTCCTGTTGTTGACTTAACAATTTGATACTCTCGTTTATGGCATCAGTAATCTCCCTAGGCTCTAGTCATGAGTTGCCGAGGCTAAGGAAGCCTTTTGAGTTCGCTGACTTCGATCTTATTCAGACAGGGTCATAGTCAAAGTGGAAGTTCTCTCCTCCCTTAGAGAAAGGTAACTCCTTCTTTGATGGACCCATTCTTTCCACTGGGATCTCACTTGCAGAGATCTTTCATTTAGGTCTTTTTTTTTTCTTTTTTGGCCAGAGTGTCTTGTCTTTCCATGCCTAAAATCCTCTCATGGGCTCTTCAGCCAGTTCCAAATGCCTTAAGGGCTGATTCTGAGGCCAGAGTGCTATTTAGGACATCTGCCATTCTATGAGTCTGCTGTGTAACCCACTTCCCATGATGGATCATTCTCTCCCTTTTTGATTCTATCAGTTAGTATTAGCAGACACTAGTCTTGTTTGCATGATCCCTTAGACTCTTAGACCTATCAGTGTGATCAATTGTGAACTGAAATTGATCACTTGGACTAGTGAGACGGCATTGGTACATGCCACCTTGATGGGATTGTATTGGAATCCCCTGGCACATTTCTAACTCCACCATTTGGGGCAAGTTTGATTGAGTATGTCCCAAATTGTACATCTCCTCCCTCACTTATTCCCACTCTTATATTTAACAGGGATCACTTTTCACTTAAATGTCAACACCTAAGAATAATTGTGTGTTAATCACAGAGTTCAACCAATAGTACTAGAACAAAAAAAATACTAAAAGGGATAAAGTATTACACTGTACATCAACAGTCAGGGCAAGAGCTGATCAAGTCACTGTTTCTCATAGTGTCCATTTCACTTCAACAGGTTTCCCCGTTGGTGCTCAGTTAGTTGTCACTGATAAGGGAGAACATATGATATTTGTCCTTTGGGACTGGCTTAGTTTACTCAGCATGATGTTTTCCAGATTCCTCCCTTTTGTTGCAAATGACCGCGTTTCATTGTTTTTCACCGCTGTATAGTATTCTATTGAGTACGTGTCCCATAATTTCTTTATCCAGTCTTCTGTTGATGGGCATTTGGGTTGGTTCCAGGTTTTAGCTATTGTGAATTGGGCTGCAATAATCATTAATGTTCAGACAGTTTTTTGTTTGCCAATTTAATTTCCTTTGGGTAAATTCCAAGGAGTGGGATGGCTGGGTTGTATGGTAGGGTTATATTCAGGTTTCTGAGGAATCTCCAGACTGACTTCCATAGTGGTTTGACCAGTTTGCATTCCCACCAACAGTGGGTTAGTGTCCCTTTTTCCCCACATCCTCGCCAGCATCTATTATTGGTACATTTCTGAATGTGAGCCATTCTAACCGGGGTGAGGTGAAACCTCATTGTGGTTTTGATGTGCATTTCCCTGATTGCTAGTGATTTTGAACATTTTTTCATGTGTCTGTTGGCCATTTGGATTTCCTCTTTTGAAAAATGTCTATTGAGGTCCTTGGCCCATCTCTTAAGTGGGTTGTGTGTTTTGATGTTGCGGAGTTTCTTGATCTCTTTGTAGATTCTGATTATCAACGCATAGTTTGCAAATATTTTTTCCCATTCTGTCGGTTGCCTCTTCACGTTCCTGTTTCTTTTGAAGTACAGAAACTTCTCAGTTTGATGCAATCCCAAATATTAATTTTGGCTTTGACTGCCTGTGCCTCCCAGGTCTTTTCCAGAAATTCTGTGCCTGTGCCAATATCTTGCAGGGTTTTTCCAATGTTCTCTAATAATTTGATGGTGTCGATTATAGATTTAAGTCTTTAATCCATGTTGAGTGGATTTTTGTTTAAGGTGAAAGGTAGGGGGGTCTTGCTTCATGATTCTGCACGTGGAAATCCAGTTTCCCAGCACCATTTATTTAATAGCCTGTCCTTACTCCAGGGATTGGTTTTAGATCCTTGATCAAATATAAGTTGGCTGTAGAAGTTTGGGTTGATTTCTGGTGTTTCAATTCTGTTCCATTGGTCTATCCATCTGTTTCTGTACCAGGACCATGCTGTTTTGATTACAACTGCCCTGTAGTATGCCCTGTAATCTGGTATTGAGATGCCTCCGGCTTTGTTTTTGTTGTCCAAGATTGCTTTAGCTATTCGAGGTCTCCTGTGTCTCCACATGAATTTCAGCATTAATTTTTCACAACCTGACGAGAATGTCTTCGGTATTTTCATTGGTATTGCATTGAATCTATAAATTGCTTTTGGGAGAATGGACATTTTGATGATGTTGATTCTTCCAATCCATGAGCATGGAAGATTTTTCCATTTTTTTGGGTATCCTCTTCTACTTGTTTCTTTAAGGTTTTGTAATTTTCATTGTAGAGATCTTTAATGTCCTTGGTTAAATTTATTCCAAGGTATTTGATTGTTTTTGTCGTTATTGTGAATGGGATTGATCTTAGCAGTTCTTCCTCAGCCATGGCATAGCCTGTGTATACAAAGGCTGTTGATTTTTGTGCATTGATTTTATACCCAGCTACTTTGCCAAACTTTTCTATGAGTTCTAATAGTCTCTTAGTAGAGTTCTTTGGATCCCCTAAGTAAAGAATCATATCATCTGCAAAGAGGGATAGTTTGAGTTCTTCCTTAACAATTTCTATCCCTTTCATTTCTTTTTCTTGCATAATAGCTCTGGCTAAAAATTCCAGAACTATAATGAATAGCAGTGGTGAGAGTGTGAATCCCTGTCTGGTACCAGATCTCAGTGGAAATGCTTCCAACTTTACCCATTCAATAGGATGCTGACCATCGGTTTTTCATA